ACAATTACTTTATTTATTTAAAAACTTTTTTTCTGGCCAGGGGCAGTGGCTCACACGTGTAATCCCAGCACTTTGGGAGGCCAAGGCAGGTAGATCACCTGAGGTCAGGAGTTCAAGACCAGCCTGGCCAACATGGTGAAACCTGTCTCTACTAAAAATACAAAAATTAGCCAGGCATGGTGGTGCACATCTATAATCCCAGTTACTTAGGAAGGTGAGGCAGGAATATCGCTTGAACCCAGAGGCGGAGGTTCAAATTAATTTTTGTATTTTTAGTAGAGATGGGGTTTCACCACGATGGCCAGGTTGGTCCCAAACTCCTGATCTCAGGTAATCCGCTCGCCTCGGCCTCCCAAAGTTCTGGGATTACAGGTGTGAGCCACCGCGCCCGGCCTTTCCTTTTTTTTTTTCCTTTTTTATTTTTTTTAAAACATAAAAGGTGTGACAAACCTTCCTTTTTTCTTTTTCTAAACTGATCATGTCAAAGATTTCAGTGCTAAACCAACCTTGTTCTTTTTTTAAATTGTTCCATGTGGAGCAGGGCTAAATGTCAGGCAGTGCACCCAGAGTCGCCACCAATTACTTTTGAACGGAGAACATAAGAATATGTAATTAGAGGAGGTGGGATATCGTTGGTGCAGCTATATCATTCAAAATTGGCAGAAGTCCTAAAGCTGGTGGGGCTGAAATTAAAAAAAAAAAAAAAAAAAAGAACAGAATTGGTGGGAGGGCGTATGTTGAGACCTGGAATAGCTTTTCTGGAACACACTCTAAGGCAGGGGGCAGAGTAGTACATAGGTAGTCAAATGCTCAGGCTGCGGGTGAATACCGATAACAGAAACAGGGTCGCACGTTTCCTTGGCACACTTCCAGCTGCTATGTGGGATCCTGTCTGGTTCGCTTAGGATTCTGCGGTTCTCCAGGTAGTGAGGTCTTCCTTGCAGAGATGCTCCGGAGAGAACGCAGGCTCTGCATCTGCTGCAGGCGCAGGGCGAGCTCCCGGTCACAGGCCTCTTGAACAGTCTCCGTTTTCTCTATGTCCCAGTTCAAAGCAACAGCCAGTGCTCTGGGGTCTTCCTTGGTAACCAACTGCAGCAAGAATAAGAACCCCTGAGAACTGGGGCATTGTGCGCGCCTCACCTGCTGCTCTCCTGAGTCTTTTTTGGGGAGTGAGATGAGGCAGTATCCGTTTATGTTGCCTCTTTACACTGAAATGCCAGGTTTCCTTTACCATCAATTGGCATGGGCCTTTTCTTACACCGACAGGAAGAAGTCCTTGGAAAGTTTACTTGGAGCGACCCCAAAGTCCTCCACCCTCAGGAAATGCAGCCAAGCTCAAGTCAAACATTTCCTTCCCTTCTATCTATAACAGGGAGGCACTTGTGACAGGGACAAGGACAAAGAATCAGAAGTAGCACCCGCCTTGATGGGTTCCCTTCCTCAAGCTTTTGGTTCTCTGGTCTTAGGCAGCAGGCGATGACTCCCGCAAGTTTGGCTTTTCATGTGACATTAACAGACCTCAGGATGGACTATGGATCTTCTTTGACCACGGAAAGAGCCAGAAGCCATCTCGGAAGATTGGGCCCCACTACTCTTCCCTATCAGGAACAGTCACTTCATTACCAACCCTGGACCAGAGTCTGTTAGATGATCTGAGGAAGTATATGCATTTTTCTTTAAAGCTATTTTGATTTAGATTAATGAGATTTTTGTAGATGCTCTGGCATATTATAGGCAAACTGGCAGCTAGGATTCACAGGCTGCAGAGGTGAACAAAAGACCCCACATGCCTCTGCACGACAATACTACATCCCAGGGCAGGTCCTTCTCTGTAGCTCAGTGACCCTGGTTTCCGCCCACCTCCAAATCCTGGCTGGATAAGCTCAGTTCTGGAGCTGGCTTCTCCCTCAGGGCGGTAAGGATGTGGCTTGCCAGTGCAACATCCGAGGAGGCCTCTCCGCTGATACCACTGTCTACTGCATCCGCCTCCTCAACGAAGGCAGCTTTGGACTCTGCAAAGGAGGCACGAGACAGATCAGACATGGAGTGACCCTACAGCCACGTGACCAACCTGCCAGAATAACTGGCCAGGCAAGAGAGGAACAAGCCCTTCCAGCACCCCAGCCGCCGTGACTGCAGTGTCTCTAGCTGCATTACAAATACAGTGTCCTCTAGAGGGACACCTCCATCAGCCCCGAATTCTCGGGAGTCCTACCTTCCTGCTTTGTCAAGAGGCTGCCCTCTTTCTCCAATGCCTGGAGGTACAGCTGCAGGAGCTGCTTGGACCGGCGCGCTTCCTCTCTCTGGTCAAGCACCTGCTGGAGTGTGTGCTGCAGCCCCTGGACGGTGGCAGAACTTTGGCGTAGTTCCTGTGCCAGGTCTGAGCAGGGAACGTCAACAAGCATCTAACAAACGAACAGAGACTCTGAGAAATCTACAAGGACTTCCTTCTTATTTTTATTTATTTATTTATTTATTTATTTTGAGATGGAGTCTCGCTCTGTCACCCAGGCTGTAGTGCAATGGTGTGATGTTGGCTTACTGCAACCTCTGCCTCCCAGGTTCAAGCGATTCTCCTGACTCAGCCTCCTGAGTAGCTGGGACTACAGGCATGCACTACCACACCCGGCTAATTTTGTATTTTTAGTAAAGACAGGCTTTTTTTAATTTTTATTTTTTTAAGACAGGGTTTCACCATGTTGGTCAGGCTGGTCTTGAACTCCCGACCTCAGGTGATCCACCCGCCTTGGCCTCCAAAGTGCTTGGATTACAGGCGTGAGCCACTACACCTGGCCCAGTAAAGACGGGCTTTCACCACATTGGCCAGGCTGCTCCTGAGCTCCTGACCTCAAGTGATCCACCTGCCACGGCTTCCCAAAGTGCTGGGATTACAGGCATGAGCCACCACACCTGGCCTCTTTTTTTTTCTTTCTTGAAACAGAGTCTCATTCTGTTACCCAGGCTGGAGTGCAGTGGCATGAGCTTGGCTCACTGCAACATCTGCCTCCTGGGTTCAAGCGATTCTCCTGCCTCAGCCTCCCTAGTAGCTGGGATTACAGGCATGTGCCACCACATCCAGCTAATTTTTGTATTTTTAGTAGAGATGGGGTTTTGCCATGTTGGCCAGGCTGGTCTTGAACTTCTGACCTCCGGCGATCCACTCACCTTGGCCTCGCAAAGTGCTGGGATTATAGGTGTGAGCCACTGCCCTGGGCTACAAGAACTTTCTAAACACAGTGTTCAACCTCTCAAATACATTCATTTCAGAACTCACTGCATCCACTTCCCAGAGTTACCTACTGTGATGGTTGGCTGAGAATCAAGAGAAAAGCCTGTGATTTTTCCAATTTTCTTCTACTGTTAACATTGTGAAAAAGGGTCATTGGGTGTAGTGGCTTACACCTACAATCCCAGCACTCTGGGAGGCCGAGGCAGGAGGACTGCTTGAGCCCAGCAGTTTAAGACCAGCTTGGGCAACATGGTGAAACCCTGTCTTTACCAAAAATATAAAAATTAGCCAGACATGGCGAAGTATGCCTGCGTTCCCAGCTACTTGGGAGGCTGAGGTGGGAGGATCGCTTGAGTCCAGGAGGCAGAGGTTGCAGTGAGCTGAGATCGCACCACTACACTCCAGCCTGGGTGACTGAGACTGACCTTGTCTCAAAACAAACACTAACAAACAAATGAAAGCAAAACAAACACAAAACAGCAAGAAATCATTTCCTCAAAGAGGCCTTCCTCCATGTTCCAATCTAAGTTGCTCCCATCACTCTCTGATGCCACCCTGTCTGATACGCTTTCCGGTTTTGCCTGCCTCCCTTCATCAGAATACAAGTTCTGTCAGAGGCGAGACTGTGTCTGGCTTGTTCGCCAGCGCGTAGAACCACGACAGGCATAGGGTGGGGCTCACTAAATATTTTTGGGGCTGGGCACAGAGGCTCATATCAGTAATCCCAGGACTTTGGGAGGCCAAGGTGGGAGGATTGGTTGAGCCCAGGAGTTCAAGACCAGCCTAGGCAACATGTGAAGACCCTGTCTCTATAAAAAATTAATTATTTTATCTTTTTGAAACAGAGTCTGGCTCTGTTGCCCAGCTTGGTGTGGTAGAGTCATGGCTCATTGAAGCCTTGACCACCTGGGCTCAAGTGATCCTCTCGCCTCAGTTTCCTGAGTAGCTGGAACTATAGGCACATGCCACCACACCCAGCTAATTTTCCTAATTTTTGTAGAGATAGGGTTTTACCACATTTCCTGGGCCGGTTTGGAACTCCTGAACTCAGGTAATCTTTTCACCTTGGCCTCCCAAAGTGCTAGGATTACAGGTATGCGCCACTGCACCTGGCCTACAAAAAATTAAAAACAACAACAAAATAGCCAGTGTGGTGGTGCACACCTGCAGTCTCAGCTACCCGAGAGGCTGAGGTGGGAGGACTGCTCAAGCCCAGGAGGTCGAGGAGGCCATGAGCTATGATCATGCCACTGCACTGGGCAACAGAGCAAGACCCTGTCTCAAAGAGAAAATTCCTTTGAATGAAACCATACTATTTTTATCCCAGTCTTACTAGAGAGAAAACACAAGGAGAGAAGCTAAGCTGTTGGCCCAGTCGTAGTGACAGTACTGGGATGTGAAACCAGCTACTCCAACACCACATTCCCTAGCATGGCACCCTGACCCCAGCGTCTACCTAACTAGGTTTAGGCTGGCTCCTGGGTACCTGTATTTAAAAAAAAATCCGGCAGGGTGTGGCGGCACACACCTGTAATCCTAGCACCTTGGGGGGCCGAGGTGGGTGGATCACTTGAGGTCAGGAGTTCGAGACCATCCTGGTCAACATGATGAAACCTTGTCTCTACTAAAAATACAAAAATTAAGTCAGGTGTGTTGGTGTGTACCTGTAATCCCAGCTACCTGGTACGCTGAGGCGCTAAGGCAGGAGAATCACTTGAACCCAGGAGGTGGAGACTGCAGTGAACTGAGATTGTGCCACTGCACTCCAGCCTGGGCGACAGAGACTGTGTCTCAAAAAATAAAAAAATGCCGGGCACGGTGGCTCACGCCTGTAATTCCAGCACGCTGGGAAGCCAAGGTGGGTGGATCATAAGGTCAGGAGTTTGAGACCAGCCTGGCCAACATGGTGAAACCCCATCTGCACTAAAAATACAAAAATTGCCGGGCGCGGTGGCTCAAGCCTGTAATCCCAGCACTTTGGGAGGCCGAGGCGG